TCTTTCTTTGTTCACTTCATAATATTTTAAACAATTTATTTTCAATTTTTTTATGAAAATTTGTATTATTCTGGAGTAAGCTGCTTTAAAAATGTATGTGGCTACGTGATCATGTGTATACATACATGTCACAAAGACAAACAGCTACCTGGTACATCCTGTGTCTAAAACGACGTGTATGACGTTTAACATTGTAAGCAAATGTCAAGGTCACAAACAATATGTTACACTATATATATTGACGGAATTTATATTAAGCTATTTCTTTTATCTTTCTACCCACCTTATCAGAACTTACAGCAGCTGTTGCCTCTTGTAAAGTTCAACCCAAACTGCCTTCGTCATCATAAATCAAGAAAAAGACAATATTACATGTATGTTCAATTTCGTGTTTTTTTCCCTCAAAACATTTAAGTTGCTTTAATTTCATTTCTTTTAATATGATGGTATAATGCCAGTTTTGCTTAAAGTTTTTAACCCCCGAGGTTAGCCAAAATCATCTTTCCTGTTTCCGCGCCATGTGACCTAAATTGTTTTGGTGCGCCGTAAAACCAAACAAAACTAAGCAAAATCATTCCAGTTATTTATAATCACTGTCTGTATTGTTGGTATAAATATCTTTTGTTCTGTGTTATGAAATGAATAATTTGTCTTAGCCCTTAACATATACTTATATTGTTTAACAGAAATAGGTTTTCTCAAACGTACCCTGTAACCAAAAGCGAAAGTCACGTGTGTTAAGTTGAAGTAATTGTATTTTCAATCTCTCTAGGGAAATATTTTCATTTTTTACATGATGATTATAATGTACATTATAGGCATGCAACTTTTATAAATTATAAGATTTAAGGAGCGGGTTTATCAATAATAGAATTTTCATACTTGAAAAGAAACGTGCAATTTATTATATCCGTGTATAGACGATCGACTTCAGACGACTTAATTCCATGTAATATCAAGTGAATTGCCAACCCTACCCCCGCCCCCCCCCCCCCCCCGACACCTCCACGTTATAACAGTGACTTTCACTTTGCACTGCAGGTTGTGGGGGTACCAATCTTGACTGGTTGTAAAAATCAGCTCATTTCTCCCACTCTGCCCAGAAGTGCATACTGTTTTAATGTTGTGTTTAAGATGTTGCCTACATTACATAAAATTTTAATTTTCCCAAAACATATCATTTAACAGATTGGGCGATTGATAGACTAAATATATTACTTTGTAATATTAAATAGTTTCGGTTTCATAGTCTATACCAAACATTCTTTTAACTGCGCAAGGATATAGTTTCAATTCGTAGAACAATTACTGTACAAATAATTTCAACTGTCTTATCTGATATAAAAAAAAAAGCCCGAATGCATGATCGTTGTAGTGGATGCATGTTTAAGTGTTTTAAATATTTATTATACAGGGATGTAAATCATTTGTAGATAATTATGCAAAACAAGGCGCAGGATCGCAAACAATGCGGAACTCAAACACGTTAAGTGATTTATTTTATCCGGGTCACATATTGTTCATTGTTTATATGCTGACTGGCACAAAGATTGTAATTGGCATTATGTATTTTGCATAAATAATTCAACAGTTTAACAGTAGATCTAATTCTCAATGGTTTTAAAGTTAAACAAAAAATCCGAATAATTGCCTCAAATTCTTTTGGTTTCCTAGACAGCATCATAAACATAAATTATTTCAAAACGAATTGTGCCAAATGTGATGCAGACGGTGGAAACTTCCATCACATTGATGAATGTATTGACAAATAATTTGTGTGCAAAATTTCATATCATTAGCCCCTAACGTTTCTCCAAAATAATCACTGTCACTACACAAAAATGATTCAAAAATAGAGAACCGTTTATATTGCGTTTAACTATAATTTTGCTTAAAATTGTACAAAAATGGATAGTCATTTTAATGCTGATTATACATTTTTATCTTTTTTCCCATAGTGTCCGTTTAAAGTGCTATGTTCTATGTAAGAGCTTAGACTTGTAAGTTTTAAGACTTTTTTAGACTTCAGTGGCGTTCCTTTAAACTAAGCTTTGGATTGTTCATGAATAGATCATTCAGTCATTAATGAAAATGCAATGGTATTAACCCAATGATCAACTATCTTAATACATGTAATACATGTATATAAAATGCCTTATCGACACTTCTCGTCATATATTCTTATGAAACTGTAATAATAACGCAGTAATACATGTTTTTTCAGGAAAACAAAAGTCAAGTATTCTTGAAACATTGCACTTTGCAATACTCTAGAAAAAAGATAAGTTTGTCAAGTGTTGTTTTACAATATTTAACATTTAATTGGTGCTCATTTAGTCAATGACTCTTGTCCCTTTACAGTAAGTGCCGTGTTCCTGACAGGGAATATAATTTTATTTTTTATTTTTCATAAACGCGTTCATAGACCGAAACCGTTGTCTATCCATTTACGCGGAATGTGTGCCCATGCTAGCTAATTTTAAATTAGGCTTATGCAACGTGTTAAAACTGTTTTATTTGTACCATTTATTTAAAAAGAATTGCATTCTCGCTTTTGATTTTTTGTCGAAATCAAATTTTGAACTGGTATATTACGTTTCCATATGTTATTTAATATAAACAAAATGTTACTGACCGTCATTTTCATCCACACATATTTGATCAATAAAGTTAAATATGACACATAAAAATAACACTCATATGGAAATTATTGTAACGTCGGCATAATAATATACCACAAACAACGCCCTAAAGCTACTTGGAAGATTATATATAATTAACTATTACCAATGTCATATATATTACCTTGGTATCGAAAATGTTACCAAACGAACGCTTCTAAAATACTAGTAGACCGAAGTTCCACTAAAATCCAACTATGCAATATTAGAAAAAGCACAGGTTTTTTTGTTGTTTTTTTGTATATTTGTATATAAACACTATTGTTGCATCACTGTCATACATGGCAAAGGTGTTTGTTATGATAAACCTATTTACATCTGTGTATAAAATACGGTAGCGCTTTGAAGTAACAGTTACGACGTTACTTTGTACTATTTAGTATTAGATAATAGTAATCCATTTGCAATACTCACATGCCCTAACATAATTATAGTCATAAATGAATATTTATACAGTTTGTTTTCCAAACCGACATGTATTATCTATATGGCCTTTATTTTACAAGCGTTGCCTTGGTCCAAGTCTATATGACCTTTATTTAACAGCGTTGCCTTGGTCCAAGTTTGGTCAGTTTTGTCTAGGGAACTTAACAAAACATGCACGATATATCCAGTTTGTTCTAAAGCGTTAATTGGAATGACCCAATTGCTAGAGTTTTTTGTTAACATGAAGTTCATTTTGATTTTCTGTTTCTACGACGATCCGTTATGAATTTGAAATAAAATAGGTTATCTTACAGATTTACACATTGCCGACCGGATTTTCAATTCACCCTGTAAATAAGTTAAAATCGGTACAAGTTATAAAATATAACGACATCCTTGTTTAAAGTTAATATGTAGCACACTGTCTATAAATAGAATTAAATTAAACAAAATGTTATGAATCTAATACGTGCGCGTCAAAGTATTGTTTATTGCATTTTTGCACTTTAAACAGTCCTTTTCAACATTTAACTGTGACCATATCAAACTTTTTCTTGCTTTTCTTTCTGGAAACATAAAACTTAAATCTAAATATAATCGTTGCTAGTGTTATAAATTTATGAACAACCACAGCCGTACGGCACATTTGCGTGTCAATAATGTTCAACTTATCATAAAATAATCACCCCTTGATTATCAAGAACAAAATTACTATCCAGCAACCGTTTACTATATAAAATATATGTACTTAGTATTATTATATGATAATTTGACCATTATTAGCATGGCAAATGTGCGAACAACAATACAATTTACTTTAACTTATGCAAGTATTAGATCACCGTTATTCATCGCACTCGCTAACCTGCAGAAAGTCATGGTAATATATGTAGATCTACGCATCTGTTAAAACTAACTTACAGCTTTTAACCGACATTTATAACCGAGATATATATATATATTTGTAATTTTACTACCCTAACTAAGCATAGGTCAGGGCATTTGCCAATAGATTTCTTTTCACTAGTGAGTGTTTCCCGGTATTGTATTATGACCATATATTTGTCCTCCCATGACCCTTTTATTTCGGTCATCATGTATATAATCCTTATGCAAACAGTTTATGTCTTTTTCCTTCTCCACGAACAATTGTATGTTGTAGTATGAAGTAAAACACCTTAGAAATAGTATTATTTCCTAACGTAAACTTTAAAAAAAAAATTAAATCCAAAGAGTCTTTGGATATTGTTTATGGTATTGGTCCCCAGTAGTTTACAACTTAAAATAAAATAAAACAAATAATATATATAGTTTGAATAACACCTTTACTTTCAACAATATAATGCATTTACAAAACAACATGCAAAAAAGAAAAAAAGAAAAAGGCGTACAACAAGACAGTGAAATACAATTTCAGAACAGTTAATATTGTTACGATAGTAATTTTATTTCCCTTGCCACGTTTAAAAGGTGAAGGTTTTGCTCATAGCCAGCTGGTTCCATAAAAAACCTTTTTGCACTTTTAAAATTTTATGTACAGTCAAGGGAAAATCGCCCCCACCGCTTTTTTTAACCACGTCAATTTCTCACATAGTTCATAATCCCCCCTTGAAATTATCAAATCAAATGGTTCCTTTATTTTTTCTTTTCCTTTTTTTTTATTTCATTTAATAAACAGATTTTTATAAAAATTTTTATTTTTTCATATATTTGCAAGAACGTAAGTGCTTGTTCCAAATGAAAAGTTTTTTGAGAAAAAGTCTGTGTTCACTGGTTTGCTCACCAAAAAAAAGCGTTTTTCCGTGATTTCGTTTTATATAAATTGTTTCTTTCCTTCAGTTTCGCATCAACCTACACTTTAATGTGAAAAGACCAATGATAATTATTGACATTTGATGTCCGGTTTCAGGCGGCCAGTGCCAATTGTCTAGACCGGTTTTCGCCTGATGTCGGTCTGGTTCATTTTTGTACATATTTGCATCCATGGTTTTATAAGATGGGTTTTGGTTGCCCTGAAATTACAGAAAAGAAACAAATATAAAAGTCGTTGTTCTATAAACAGTAATGGCATAAACTATAAACAGTAATGGCATAAGTTTAAAAACCCAAACAACACATCACAAGTAACATTATGACTTACACTTTCACCTAAATCAATAGTAAATGAGTCATGAAGCTTATTCAAAAAGCATTTTTTTTTTTTAAAAAACAAGCAACAATTTAAGTAACAAAAGATGAAAATCTGCTTACCATTTCAATACATATATTTCGACTGTATTTCATCCGCTGTTATCCTTATACTCATTTTGGTTGGCTTCAACTTCTTCTTGAAATGATTTACTTGTTACAAGAGCACAGTCAATGCCATTCGTGTCTATAGTCTTATTTCTATGAATACACATACTATTAAAGTCATTAATCTCTATGATTTTGATGTCATTTTCTAAACAATATGCCTCAATGAGTTTATGTTGTATGTGCGTCGATATGTTTCTGCTTGGTCCACTTGGTAAGATGCACAACTTCACGATATCTGAACATCTGAAAATGTAAATTGATTCGAATGTGAAAAATATAAGTAAAATAAAACATATAATTGATACAAATGATTCCACTTGCTTACCAAATATAAAAAAAATACTGTTACTGATTTTTGTTACTTGGAAAGTGTCTAAAACATTTACAAAAATGAATAGCATATTAAATGCATACATTAAAAGATCTATAGGATCTGTAAAATTATACAATTTCTAGTTGTTTGTGTTATACTTACAATTCAAGAACGTGCGCTGCTTCGAATACTCCTTTCACAAGACGCCCTTCTTTATTCGCAATATAGATCAAATCTTGAAAAGTTTCTGTACATTCATCCCCAGACCTAAATAGAAATAAAACAAAACATTAAATAAAATGTATATACAAGTAAAAATTTATTACAATTCACATTTTATTTTTGCAAAATATATACATTGTAATTGTTAAATGTTTATATTAACTGTGAACTGTTCAATAGCATAACATGTTTTATTACGTTAATCAATTACATGTAGTATTATTACATGTTTTAATTTCTTTAGTAAATTAGATACAAAATTACATAAGATTACATCATTTCAAAAAGATTCAAATTAAATTTTCTAATATACTTACATATCTGTATCGGAATCCACTGATATATTTCTTCTGTAATCTTTCATTGTAATAATTTTATCCATAAATTTCCTTTTCACAACAATATGTGCAGTAGATCACTATATACCAGTATTTATAATCCGAAATACAACGATGTGTCTTGTTCAGTAGCTGTACTAACTTTAACCGATATCAGTATGAACGGAGCATTTACATGCCTTTCCAACTGGTTAACAATCACATGCTTTAGTTCGTTTAATTCCGCATGTTTTACGGAGAGCTGTTTTCGTAACAGTTTCTATGGAGACATCGTACTCAGTCTGTAACGCCTACTTAACGTTTAGATAAAAGTTATGAGAGAAAGAATTGTATTTTTCCATTTGACTGGCTGGTTTTAAAAGTGCTTGTTTTCTTCAAATTAGCTACGAGTATAAATTTAGCATAAAAATACCAAATACGGTGAAATTCCATGCAAAAAAGTTGTGTAACAAACATAAAAACAAAGCTAAATGATGCAAGTAAATTCAGTCCTGAACAATGATTGTTTGTAAAACGATCTTCTATTAAAAGAAAATAAGATTGGACCTTTTACTTTACTACAGGGTAATGTTTATTGAGCTATTTGAGCTGTCAGATTATTAATTAATGTTTTTCTTAAGTCTTACCCTCTCACCAGTGCTTATGTAAAAAAACATCCTTAAAAAGTCACAAAGTATACAAAGTTCTCAAAAATGTTAGATATTTCATATTTTGCATGAACATTATATGCGGTAACAAAATGCAATGTCATTCAAAACTATGGAAAAATTTCAACGATCTATGGGGGCCAATAACCAGTCCTGTTCATTAGCATGTCATTGCTTAACATTGACATTGTTGAGGCTGCTTTTCAAAACAAATAGTATAACATAACATTCATAAGAGACTAGAACAGATTAGAGTATAACAACAGAAAGAAACTAGTAAGTTAGTTAAAGTCTTAAGCATATAGTTTATGTCAAAATGCATTTATAAAATTTTTAAAAAAATTTTAAAACGTTAAACAAAAGATTAAAATGATTATTGCGAGTTCTGGGAGTACTTATTAAAAAACGAAAATGCACTATATGTTATTTAAAGTATCATTTTAGTTTAAAAAACCCTTTTTTCCTCTGTTGCAAGTTAAGGTAGAAAAATTTGTCTTTTTAAATAAATACTACTGTTCATTGCATTTTAAGATACATCTGCCTAAAAGTTGAACATTTGTTGATTTTTCAATCTGTTGAAACGGACAACATTTGCATATTAGTATCTATATTTTTACGTATTTTCTCTATCTGACAACTTTATACAAACACCTGCGTACGATTAAAATGCATGTAAAAGTCCATATCATAATATCAAATAAACTTTAAATGCTATCAAGACTAATATTAGCAAATTTATGATCCATTTAGTAACATTAAATACATAATCTATGGATTATAAGTTTAGCCAAAGATCAGACATATTTGTTAAACCTTACAAATAAGACAGCAGATATACAAATTATGGATAAAGGAACCCGAGAAGGAAAATATGACCCTAATTGATTTTAAACTTTAAACTGAAATAATGGAATGTATACTATGACAAATATTTCATATCCTTTAATATATCAAACAATATCATAATGGACAAACTATGCAAGAAATTCTTACTATTTCCGCTTGCCTTACTCCCATAAACGAACATATCGCCGTTAGCATGACAAAGTGTAATTGTAATAGCTTTTTATGAAGTAAAATATAATATATTATTCATATACCAATTCCATATATAGTTGTGAATTATAAAATCTAAAACATTCTTACATTTGATTAGTTTTACTTTTTTCTGCTTCTCAAGAAGAAATGAGTTTGTACTAATTACGTGGTCAATCTATATGCATGCATATATATAAACCGTAAGTGTATGATAATAAAAAAATAATTATATTTTCAGCAGTCTGATTAATGGATATCTGTTTCTTAGTTATGCTGTTTTTTTAAACCATGAGTGTTGAGTTATAGTCAGTTTTTAAGAGGAAATACATGAACAACAAATTTGTTTGAAAGGAATAAGAATTATTCCTTTGTCGGTTCTATAAATGCAATGTTCATATACATATTTGTTCCCATTTATTCGTTCTGATGGTATGTAAAATACATATCAGCAAAATAATTATCAAAAATTTCATGATTCTCATTAACAGGTAGGAATATTTGACGATTTGATTGCCAGGATCTGAAACTACTTAGAAATGACAGAGCGTCGCCTTATAATGTATTGGCTTCATTTTATTTTGCTCCTTTTAATGGATAAAATACTGTTTGAACGATCAACAGTTAACACTGAATGTCTGTTTGTTGGAATAATCAAATTATTGTCAAGGTTGAAATATTGAGAACTTTTGTGTTGACCTTTGATTTAATACATATTGTTGAACAACTTCTGCACAAATTGTATTCAAATTTTTATGTAACTTGCTCAGAGTCTTTGGTCTGATTCTGTTTGGTCAAATGTGACATTGTTTATCATAATGAAAGGATAAATGGCTCATGTAAATGTGTTATTCTTTGTTGTTTTTTAAGACGATAAAAAACAGTATATGTAAAGATAAGACAAACAGTATTTTTCCAGACAATACATTGTCAGTACCTCCAGCTCTTTGATTAAATACATATATTGCACCAAGTTCAAAAATTCTGCTCGATTTTCTTTTTCGGCAACTATTTCAGTCATGTTACTCTATAAAAGAATGAAATTTTTAGGACCAGTCTCGTAAGTCGTGTCCTTTCTTTGAATAAACACATTAATCTGCGCGTAGTTAACACTTTAGCAGGAATAGCTGCACTCTATTTATAGCTGTTGTCATTGGATTTAGAGTTATTAGATTTGGTTTCAGCATTATGACGCTATTTTTGGAAACTAGAAAGTCGTTTATTAAATGTCAACGGATTTGAATTCCAGGCAATTCTTGATCATCAGTTATAGGTCAATTCGTTTTTAACAGCTTAATAAAACATAGCTTTTTACTTTTAACTAGGAAGAGCACCATTTACTGTAATTGACAAAGCTTCACTATTTTACTTTGTCAATGGACAATTCTGAGCAAGCCTTTGTAATTGAAAATGTTGGTTAGCAACCTAATTGCTCGTTAGAACATTGTAGATTCTATAGCTAAATTACGATATAATTTTTTGTCATAATTGATTGTTTTATGGTTTGTTGTCGCAAATCATATAAAAACAGTTGAGACTTTAACATTATTTTGAAATTATTTATCTTATTCTATAATCTTTTTATCAGATCACATTTGTTTATACTTATTGCACAATAAAACACAACATTTAAGATGTTCAACGTTTATCTCAAAAAATATCTTTATGCAAAATAAGAAAACTTGGGTTCTTTGCATTCTTGTACTATAAACCTGATACGATGCTTCAATTAGCACGTTCCCTAAAGAAGACGCTATGAAAGGATTAAAATAATTGTTAATCCGTTTTTTCCTCTTGATAATGGCCTTAACTTTCTCAGTTAGATCAATAAAACATCACCATACTTGTACTTCACTGCGTCAATGCTCTAGTTTGAAGCAGCTTGCATCAATCTTGACGTACGTCTAAGGTAAAAAAACATGTGACAGAAAATATATCACTTTTTTCTATGATTTTTTGTTTTGATATTACTGTCTTATTTGAAATAGGGAAGCTTGCTGATTTAAACATTGTTCATTCTATCATTTAAAGCATAATTCTTCTCATACTGCGTCTGTAAGGCTGTAACATTGTCCGTATTAGTTATTACGGTTCTGAGTTAACTTGTTGAATTGTCTTTTTAACAAAATAAACAAGTGCAAGGAGTTTTCAGGAAAGAAGTAGTGTTCCGTAATTATTTTCTCTGTCGAACCAAACAAAACGAAACAAAATCAAAAACCAACTTGCCTGAATTTGACCAATATTAATTTATTAATCTATTCTTCTCTGATATATGTACAAAAAAGCAACAACTCAATTTAGGGTTCATCTGCCTATATTCTCCAAAATTATACAACCTTTTTCCATTACTTGTTTTCTACTGATACTAGAGTTAAACAGATGATGGAAATATCCGTCCAGTGCCATTAAATCTATTATCACATCTTAAATATTATTGATGTCAACAGGGTCAGGAATCCATTATAGCGTTTTTAGATGTCAATTAAGACGAACCAAATGGTTTCTTTTCGAACGTAGTTTTTTAACAAAAGATCTCTTGGTTTTATTTTCAAATTTTCTTGCCGCAAATCATATTAAATTGGTCAATTGAAAGGATTAAAATTAAACTATATAAGATTCAGTCACCTGTTAGTTTTGAAATAATAATGTCAGCTTCTGTAAGATTTTGGACGTTAAGGTAATTTGTAATTGTGAAATAAACTAATCAAAACGCTTTAAGTCGTTAAATAGGGCAATTGCCCTATTTAACGACTTAAAGCGTTTTGATTAGTTTATTGTGTGCCATTGTTTAAAAATGGCAGGATAAAAAAATATCGGTTGATTATCAACAGAAGTAGATTTAAGTAATATTTTCCATATAATATATGTCTAAGCATTGTAAGTATTTTAAGTTTACTTGAATCAACAATGCAACAATGCCAGCCCCGACGATCTCCTCCGAAAAGCCTTCAAAAACAAAATATATAATCACAAACTGCTATTACAAGAGCAGCATGCAGATTCACTTCAAACAAGTAAGTCAAGTAATTATGTCCTATTTAGCATATATTTATGTGTTAGATTTTATTACATTTAACATTATTTCTCATTAGTAATTAAGTAATTACATGAAATGAATAATAAGAAATTATTTTCTTTCTAAATATATAAATCTGTGCTTAAAACAATCTACGAGGGGTGTTTCAGATCTACTGGAATTTACTATGTTACTATTAGGTGTTGACAATTGAGTACCGCTCAAGCCGGTGCTAGGGGCCGTGAGGGATGTTGCACTTTACATTACCCCTCATGAACAGACTCAATCAAACCGAGTCTGCAATTCTCTTGTAATTTTGTTGTGATTAATGCTTCCAAGGGATCACTTTGTTTCCAGATTTTTATACTTCACAACAGCAGGTGTCAAGTGCTGTGTGGCAACTGTAAAAAGTTGCCGCGTACTTCACTTCAGTGTTGTTATATTTTTATGGTACTTCGGGTTCATTGATGCCAACACTTGAGTACCGCTCAAGCCGGTGCTAGGGGCCGTGAGGGATGTTGCACTTTACATTATCCCTCATGAACAGACTAAATCAAACCGAGTCTGCTATTATCTTGTAATTTTGTTGTGATTAATGCTTCCGAGGGATCACTTTGTTTCCAGATTTTCATACTTCACAACAGCAGGTGTCAAGTGCTGTGTGGCAACTGTAAAAAGTTGCCGCGTACTTCACTTCAGTGTTGTTATATTTTTATGGTCCTTCGGGTTCATTGATGCCAACACTATTAGGTGTTGAGAATTGAGTACCGCTGAAGCCGGCGCTAGGGGGCGTGACGGATGTTGCACTTTACATTATCCCTCATGTACAGACTCAATCAAACCGAGTCTGCAATTCTCTTGTAATTTTGTTGTGATTAATGCTTCCTAGGGATCACTCTGTTTCCAGATATATTTACTATACTATTTAACTAATTTACTATAATCACAACAAAGTACTCTTGTTTTGCCTGTGAACAAAGTTTCAATACTTATTAAATTCATGATAACTTTACTCTTTTATCCTCCTGACACACACACTGACTACATGAGCCTTTTTATCTGTTTGTCCATAACAGTTTTAGTACTCCTACGACTGCGCAATACTGACCATATTTGCACGCATTGCAATTCTTAAACCTATTTCAAACTGTTGTAACTTTTTCGGTATATAATAGTTTTCTTTGAACCTTCATCATATACATCTGTAGATGATTTTTTTTTTAAAACAACGTTTTAACGTTATATTCTTATGAATTAAACTAGACATTGAAAAAGTAGCTTTTGAAATATCTCTAGGTGTGCCAACATAAAAACATAAACAGCTAGCAAATGAATGAAATTTCCATTACACTTCCAGTTTATGTAATCGTTTTATCACATTGATTCTGCAATTCGATTCTGAAAAAAGTTCGCAATTTATTCATTAAAACGCATTTCATGAACGAAATTGCTTGAAACCATATATTAATTCCTGCCGGTTAAAATCGATAATGATTGTTAAGCAGTATAATGTTTTTTCGGTTCAACTTACAGTTATGAATCTGTAATAATTTGCGTTATGGCGCATTAAGGACATTTATTTTATTTAAATTACATGCATTCCTAAATAGGGTATAGTATTAATGTCGTATCGTTGAATTCAACCGGGAAGATGTAAACAAGAATCTTGAAATACGGAAGTAAAGAGATAGTCGACAACTATATCATTCATTTAGATACCACGTAATAAGAAAAATCAGTATTTTCCTTGATTGATTTGTTTCCAAAAAAAGGAAAACACATCAAGATTTCACGTACGGGCATGGTTAAGATTTACAAAGGCGTGCATGCAAATCTTAAATGTGTGTAAGCTATTTTTATTGAATATTAAATTTTTTACCATTACATGTTTAAATGTTGAATACTGCTTAAACGGTGCTAGGGGGCATGGACAGTAGCTAGCATTTTCCAGAATTCCCCATGAGCAGGCTCAATTTTCAGTTTTGCCGTTTTGGACTTTCTTTAGGGATTTTATTTTTATTAATAGTATTTTAATACTATCTTTTGTCCTCGTCATATGGTGATGAAGGATCGTAAAACGTAATACTAGAGTATAGGATAGCATATGTTTTATCCCTAATTTTTCATCTTTCAGACCTTACACACTATCAAGTAACATATTACAAAATAAAAACTCGATTAAAAATGCAATCTAAATCCTGCAATTATGTATTGTTTTGAAAATTGTACATTTTATATATAACTGGTGTTGATCATCTAAACGCTTCTGTCTGGTCGGGCCTTTGGGTCATTTTCAAAGCACTGTTTCAATAGTTGTAAAGCTTTTATTAGCATAAATATATTCAATCAGGAACAGTATTTAACTATTGACATTCAAACAAATCTATAATAATAGTGGACAAAATAATACAACAAAAATTCCAATTTTCATCTTTTATTTTGATTTGACTACATGACAAAGAAATAAGAGCAAACTTTATCATATAAAAATCAATACAAACAAACAAGAAAACAAACAAAAAATGACGACATTTTAACAAAAGAAAACAAATAAAAAACCCACAAACACAACGAATACATATGTATTTTCTTTTCATTTTGTCCTAATTCACAGACAAAGTCTAAATGTCATATCAGGTTGTTTATAGAAGTTTCAACCTTATTATCTCCCCTCTTCTAGTATTGTTTACTTACTCCAGCTGTTTGTCACGTTGTAACAAAAATCCATTTATAATGAATTCATGGAATGTCACTGCTATTTATGTTTTGATTTTGCATACACATTTACATAAATAGCTTAACAACAGATGCATGTTTTCGTTTACGTTACTGTTGTATCCAATATGAATATGACCTTTTTGCCATGACCCTCATAATGGCGGTTTGATGTACTTTCTCACAGATATCGAAATTTCACGCCAATTCTGTCTGAGTCTTGATCTCCTCATGCTTGTTAAGCACGGTATATGCAAATGCATCATTGATTGAGATATTGGAGTCCCTGAAAATAAAAAGAAGTGAATAAAATTAGTGATCAGATGTCACAAACTATTGCTATATGAGTTATATAATTGTTAACCTATCAATGATATGTCTACATGTTTTAAAAACCTCTAAACAATTTTCGAAGATTATGGGATGATGTGAAAAAAACTTAATTTAAAGGAGAGGATTAGTCTTTACTTTACGTTAATATGCATATCATCAAAATGTAAAATATTTTGAATAAAAATATGTTTAAACCAAAACTTTTAATTTCAAATGTATTTTTTGCATAAAAGGGACAAATAATTTACCATTCAAATTTTCATCCATTTCAAGACATTGTAGAAATTCAACCAAAGTTTTCATCCATCTCATTGTATCTGTCATCCATTTCTAGTTCGACTTCAACTGGTTTAGATGTTATAAGCACACATTCGATGGTTGACAAGTCCATGGATTTGCTGCGCTGCACTTTGATTGTACGCATGAATTCAGCATGATCTAGCTCGACAATCTGAATGTCATTTTCCCAGCAATAGGCCTCAATCAGCTTGTGTTGGATGTGTGTTGATATGTTCTGACTTTTACCACTTGGGAGTATGCATGTTTCAACAATGTCAGGGCACCTGAATAGATAAAAAGACAAATGATATAAAATCTACTTTTATTTTTATACAAAATTATTCAAATTACTTTAGTAAGAAAACTCGGAATAATTTTTGATTAGCAAATATAAAATTTTAATACTCAAATCTGATTTATTGTAAAGTTAACAAAAAAAGATGTACAAATATTTCTACCGCCTACTATGCTAATATAACAGATTTTAAAGCAGAAGTTACAAAAAAATCAACCACAAAAACTTACATTTCAAGGACATGCGCCGACTCAAACAATCCTTTGATTAACCTATCCTCCCGCTCAGCGAGGCAGACTAAATCTTTGAATGTATAGCTGCACTCATCGCCTGACCTGAAAGAAACGTAAGTACAGTCATTTAGTACATGCATAATGTTTAAATTTTAAAATAAAATATCCTTAAACACTTTTTAAGACTTTATTCTTTATACAACAGTTTAACGTTTACAGTGAGATAAGTTATATAAGATATCAATGTCATTACTATATCATATGAGAATGATCTATAACTCACAACTGATCTAAATATTAATTACCCTAAATATCATATTTTTTGCGAAAGATTAAAATGCAAACTTACATGTCAGTATCAGAATCCACTGATGTATTCCTTTTGTATTCTCTCATAATTGCAATATTATCCATTGATTTAATTATATAATGAACAGTTGAACACAATTATTTGATGCGTCTGCTCGCAATGAAGGTTTAACTTGTTATGTCAATTTTACGATTATGCTGGGCGTATATACAATTGCACTGAACTCTCCAAGTAAACGGCTTTCTGATTGGTTGAATTTTGTAAACAAACCTACGTAGCATTATCGTCTGCTTTTCGTACTAAAGTTCAACGTCTCATAAGTGCTTCTCCTTAATCAACGGCTTCAGAGAAGTGAAAAGAACAAAATAAACTGCATATTAAACTATACATGCAAAATAAATCCTGGTTAACGACGACGTGCAGTAACGGTAGAAGTCCTTTTAAATTCAAAAGGAGTTAATCAGTTATTGCAATAAGGTGACGACGTGGTCCTGTGAAAAAATCTTATAGTTGCAATCCGGACATTGAATGTGTTAGCAAATAAAATACCACATAAAAATAACACACATGCTAAGGTAAAGAATATATTATAATAATAAACGTCTGTCCCTAAGTTTAAAATTATAATAACGTTGCTTTCAGACTGACAACACAGTCAACAACTATTAATCAAAACAACAACAATAATCAATAACAACAGACGGAAACAGATCTACAAAATTGATAAACATTGACGAAATAAGAAGCTGACCATGCAAAGAGAGATTTCAAACAGAGGTAGAGTGAACTTATCAATGCAACAAGAGCACCCGACACTGTTTACAGATTTGGACCGGGGCAAAATAAAGGAAATATTTGCGTTTTAAAATCTAATTCAACAAACCGTACCGTAAACATATGTTTCTGCAATGACTTTCAATTCTCAGAAACATAAACGCACCTTTGATATAATGTTTTGTTGTTGTTTTGCGAATGTTTTCTTAGTCTGAATGTCATCATTATTCATTAAAACATTAACGTTTAAAAACATATCAGTAACCAAAATTAGTATAAGTAAACAACCTATGGATGAAGCAAACTTGGTTATCTTCATGATACTCATTCACCTTAGGACTCGACTTGTGACACCGGTCATGGTAGTGCTTTGCATGAAATGAGATAGTAGAATCTATATTTCGGTGGTAGGTTTTACAGTGGATCGGTATAGTGAATTTATTGATAAAGATAATCATTGCATTACAGTACATGTGGTTATTCAAACTTCTTGTGAGGTGAACCCAGGGCGTGTTTATCTAGTTTTACAATATACCAGGCACTAATGATATCAGTACCCCCACTTCCTCGTTTAAACGAAATTTTGGGTAATTCTATCTTTAGCTGAATACATATATATTGTACATAAATGAGACAAAAAACACATATTCTTTGTTATGTTTAACCTGTGCATTTTCGTGTTTCACTTCTCCTAATGAATAATATTACAAAGCATTCAACCCCTTCTAATGCAGCATTGAAGAGGCATTTCAGGTGGTAAATCGACTTACAGATACTGATAGTAATAGAAATTTAAAAGTTAATAAAACTGAACTTCCGAACCAAATGAACCTAACCACAAATATTGCCTTTGATACATATAACTTAATTTTGCATAGTAACATTGTTCTGCAAACTGAATGTAAAGCATGACTCATCTATGTGAGCAAATAGTAATTGATTTTTCAGTGCATTCTTTTTTATACACCAATTAGTCTTATTTTCAAACGATTAGCATTTTGTCCTTTTATGGTTAAAACTTTGTAACATATTAAATTGTTCGCAGAATAAATCAAAATGTTTAGTATTATGAAGGGAAATGATAACGTGTTAATAAGTTACCGGTACCGGAACTGTCTACTTTTGAGCATCTACTTATGACCATAATTATTATTAATTATCAAATACTTGTAATTGGTTAATTATCATTATGTTTAAGGGAAATACTTTGCCCTGTTTTTCTCAATAACGCCTTCAAACTATAATGCATAAATGCATAAACTTTTAAGAAAACTAAAATGCAACATACTGTTTTACGTTAATAACCGACATGATAAATTTTAATGTTTTTCAAGACTGTCTATTGCACTTTAGTGTTATGTCTGTATGATTCTAAATATTTTAATAGTTTAAATCTGACCTGGATGAAACATACGAAACTTTGAAACCGGTCTCCCGTCCAAGGTCCAAAAGGCATACATTTAATATCAGCAAACGAAAAACGATAGCCACATACAATTGATATACCTTGAAAAGGTGGCTGATCATGCAAATGCAAATGAGATGCTCAAAACAGAGACAGTGGTTCTAAATAACTTATCGAGGATGGTAGTAATAAGAGCACTAATCAAGGAAATTTTAATCGGTTTGAATGAGGTCGTATTAAACAATTAAGGTTCATTGTCCATCAATATTTTAAGATATAGATGAACTGTCCATGTAAGTTTCACGTTTTACTCGCTGTTTGCGCGATTTAATGCCATCATTTGTCACAACGAATGGACAGAAAAAAAGAAATACACTGAAATTGAGACCGTGTTAGTTCCAGAAACAATTATATTCATAAGAATGAATAACCGTGACAAGAATGTTTGCAGAATAAATCGAAGTTACCCTGATAACGATACAGCTATGACGTGAACCTATTTGATAGAGACGAAACAATGGATCCCGCTTACTTCATTTGAATGACAGGTATTATTTGTTTAAATATACGTCAATTCGTTAAGAGCTTATGGATACTGAACTGATGTCATACATCAGATAACCAGAATATAATTCTTCCATTTCACAAAATGCATGGTAAAATCGATGTTATTTCAACAAGTTTTTTAACAAAGCAATGTTTGGTAACGAATAAGACTTTTTAGTTCCGGGAAAACAAATAACAAAGGTTGGACAGAAATAAATAATTTTGATTCCTTAGAAAAGAATGAAGGAAAACATAACGAGAAAGCAAATAAGAACGATCCTTTGATGCACATGAAGAACAATTATCACCCACAGAAAGGAATGGGTTAATATAAACTCCTGGGGATATTTTGTTTTGTAAAAGAAAGCATTGCCCACACATGTAACAATAATTTTGTATTCTAATGACAACAGGTATAGGTTCTAACGATGGTAAAAAAATATATAATGACAATCCCTCCTTTAACAGTTTAAAACAGATTTTAATCATGTATATTTACTGATCTTTTTTCTAGAATTTTAAGATCTAAAAATAGTCTCCGTAGTTCCAATGAAGGAATGGCTTTGTTTTAATTTTATATAAAATGCTTTAAACGCAGATATTTTTGTATTTGTTTTTGTAAACATAGTTTAGAATGTTAGGTGAGTTTGGTTACATTACATCAACGGATAGTAAAACAACGTTATACGAAGGATTAGACGACATAGTAATATTTTGCTGACATATGAAGGGGTCCAAAATATTGGTTGAACTGGATAAAAACTGAATGCTTTAAAACACATTCCATGGGTTAACTGTTCACTTTTTGGTATTCAGGTAATTATTGTAAAATATGACAGCAATTGTTATTTGATATATTGTTAATGCTTTTTGTCGTTTGAAGTGTCAACAAAATGATACTTAGTGCAGCATTGGGATTGGCTGTCAATGACCATATGCTGTATACCCTCCTTGATGAGAGGGTATTATCTTAACTTCCGCTTGACAGATCTTGTAAATTAGCTAACTGAAAAATATCCTGCTTTGGATATCGAAACCTAAGATATATAATGATAAAGAAAAATATTGTATAACGTTGTTTAACTTTCGTAAGGCGTTTGTTCTTTGGAGCTGCGATCTTTTGAAGTCTTTAACGCAGAAAAGAATCAAAGTAAAATACCCTAACACCCGCTTGAAAATACCAGGTAGCTTATAACAGGTTTCATTGGTTTGAAAAGCAAATTGTTTATTATTGACAAACGAAAATGAAAAAGACAAAAAATTAAGAAGCCAATATAACATAGAGTTATAAGAGGTCTTGAAACTCACTTATATCAGCTTTACATTATCAGAATGTTATAATATGACTATGAAGGAAAAACTCGAAATGATTACAGAAATTAGATTGTAAGGAAAGGCTATTGCGTTATTGGTGTATATCATTTGACTTTTTTACCAAGTAGAAGTATTTTCCAAAAAGCCTAAAAACAAAAAAGAAATATCATTAAATCTGTTTTAAGCATTTGAACAATGTTTTCTTGCCCTTTCATGTTTGTTTATGATTGGTTTGATTAATTGCACTGCGATATAAAATCTATTTTTACTTTAATTATATTCATGTCATTCATCAATTCAAATTATTTATTTTGACTGATGATAGTTTTGATGGTCGCCTTATGTCAAATGTAAAATGCATGAAATGTACATGTTTTATAATTCTGAGACTTTGCAAATTCATGCTGTTCATTAATCAAGAATTTTTTTAGCGTTTATTTTATCTTTAAGCAAGCTGTAAACAATGTTGGTTTATTTTTTCATTGTAATATCATAAAACTCGGTCTCGGGATCATAACAACATCCTGGTAATGATATCTCAGCGAGAAGGATGTATTCAAGGAATTGCTCGTAGAATATTTTGGTAAACAAGGCAAGGGCAACTGTTTTTGTCAGTATTGGGACTCAAAATGTGTGCACAAGTTATTGTAATTGGCTGGACGGATAGTAGAAATAAAACAAAAAATATGGGCAACACCGTAAGCTGATAAACAAGACAAGTCGGTCGGTACACCTATAATGTAGGTGAAGAACACTCTGAAGGCAATTTAATATGAAAACTGTCGTCATAAAATTGCAGTGACGTGAATAGCGTAAAAACTACACCATTATTAGGTCAATTGAGGAAAAAAGGTTTCATTGATTCTCTATTAGCAAATGAAAACTTGTTTGTGTTCGGCTGAAACCTTTTAAATACTTTCAGATTCCATTTGAATGTTTTTCTATTCTCATACTCTAAAACACAGGCGTTCGGCGGCACATTTTACATGCCAATAATGATAATTTGCCGAGCGCAGTGCTTCAATGGTTAAATCTTTTAGTAAATATACCGCAAATATTTCATCATCATGTCTTATTTTCACGAAGTGTTATCTATAGAAACGGAGATGGTTGTACCAGTTTAACTGATAAATGTATACTAGTGTACCTTATGACAGTTCGTGTGACCGCAGTCATGCTAATGATAACATTGTTAACGATGGTACAAAACATTGTGTTTTGTTTTTTGTGATCTGTTCTCGTTGTAATAAACTGCTTTTAAACGTTAAATATAAAAGCAATAAAGTGTTATTATAAATTTTATATTGCATAATAAAAGTTTGGTGATATCAGTAAAAGCATCAGTCTAATGAAGGTCCTTTTCTATATATGGAAGTTAAAAAAATAAAATTAGAGGTGAAGAATTCTCAACTCGAGATATTATGAACAAGCATATATTGTGCAATCGCTGATGTTAAAAAATTGAAATATAGAACTATTTGAAAACAGAAATATCCTTTTTTAAGCATTTGATATATATATTTATGCATTATATTTATCAAGCTTATTCACGGTAAGTTTTTAAAGCTACATATTCCTGACCTGTAAAATGATAAAAAGTTGCCAAAGAGTATATCTTCATCGAAACTTCCATTTTCTTTTCAGCACATATCACACTATCTGATAATCATAAAACTTATTTAAGTGGCTTATTATGTCCATTAAGTTATTATTAAGTTATGTATGAATAAAGTACAATGTAATAACGTAGTATACACGTGAAATATGAGGAAGTGTAAAATGCAGGGCTTGTTACTGTGTCATAAATGTGCAATTGACACTTTCTCGGATTTCTCGCGGACAATGACGACATTACAATTAGTATAAAAGTTACTTAAGTTTCTATCTTATTTTGGTCTGATTTGATACCAGTATCTCTATATCTGGACATTTTGCACACCCTGAGGTAATATCCAGATGCAATAAATATTATTCTTTGTAAGATATGACGTTATATGACGTCTTTCCAAAGCGAAAATAAATCACTATAATGCTAGTCTATATAAGGATAAGGAGAATGTTATTCTGATGGTGACTACAAGTTAAGAAGCGTCTCGTGCTCCGAGTCTTTCTTTGCTTTTTACGATACATTACGATACAGTTTCAACTTTACTATTTTTAAAACACTTTTGCATTAACTGTAAGGAACTTAAGATCTTAAACGGTCATTTGAACTAAATTTCATCTCATTATGCATATTGATATGAAAGAATTTATTTTGTAATGAGGATATACTTTTAAAGTATATCTTAAATAATGTTATAATTTAACGGGTATTCTTTTGTCCACTTTAAATATTAAATGTTGATATAAATCGGGCACATTTCTTTTTGTGACAAGCCGTTTTGGTATTTAAACAATAAGCCAATGTCAATTCTTCCAGAAGTGAACTAAGTATAGAAGATCAGTGCATGAATACTTTTAAACCGCAAAACATGACTGTACACTGACATAGAACGCTAGGTGAAAAGTTTTATCAAAATGAAATCGTGAGTTCAAATTTCATACTACAAGACTGTATATTATGATAAGGGATATAAACTAAAAAATCATGTAAGATATGACGTAAATGTAAATAATACAAACTCTGTTTCGTGCATATATTTTTTTGTCGACAGTCTGTCATTTGCGTCATGCGTAGCTGTTAGTAAAACAATCGCACGAAAGACTGTGCTTCGTCATGATTATGCAGAAATGATTATTATAGTGATATTTGCTCAGAGAGGTCCAAAACAGCTGTCGCTTTAACAATCGAAAAACGTAATACGCAATGAAGTATGATTCTTTTGAAAACGAACTAGCTTATATCAAAATGAACAAATGCTGGGGTGCGATTTCTAAAAACAGAAATGACGTTTTGAGGTTTATGAGTCATGTAAATGCATTATGCTATATTAGGCGATAACGTTGATATATAAGTCACGCCCCTATCCCTCTGCTTACTTGACAGTTTACTGTGTGTGTTCTTTATATTTATGTATACCATTTATATACGTTTTCTATGCCAAACATATGAAATGTAACCTTTCAGCTGAAACTTACTGCAGTTCAAAATTTTACCAGTTCAAGTCAAATGTTGAATTCTATTAGGCCGGTGCTGGAGTGGGTGGACGGTAACATTCAGTTTCCAATACCGTCCATGAACAGACTCAATCAAACCTAGCCTGCAACATTTTCAATTTTGACGTTTTGGTCTTTCTATAGGGATTCTGTTTCTCTCTATTTTGTTATAAGTAATAATAAGACTTAAATGCCAACTTTTGAGCAATTTGTAATGCAAACGCACGAAGTTGATAATGCTTTGCAATAATTTTCTTCTTGTTTGGATATTTTTAACAACATTCTGATTTACTTTGATATACATGTATTTTACAACATTTTTTCTTGTTTCAATATGTTTGATTACCTTTTTTGTATCTTAATTTGTCAAGTTGATGGTTGCATGTTTCCATTGCACTGCATGTGTGATTCTATGTATAATATGTTGTACATTGAGTAATTACGGTGTGATTAATAATAAACTTGATACTTAATATTTCTTATAATCTATCTTTCGTGGTAAATGCATAAAACTGAGGTCACGTTATTTATAACATCATGTGGTTATTATATCAGCACGTAGAGTGTGTGGTTTTTTATCATTGTTTCTATTTTAATTATATCTATCTCAGGCTTTGTTGGTAAATCATTAGACATAATGCGCTTAAAGTTGTCGTATTTATAATGAATATTATGTAGATCAGACTTAATATTCTTCCTTTCCTGAACTGGGTGGGTAAACATAATTATTTTACAGGAATGTTGTTTTACGTTCAATTAATATTGTACATTGTTAAACCTACACAATTTTTGTTTAGTTTGCTTATGCGTTTGTTTGTTTTGCATGTTTTGACATTAGAAAATAATTGCAACACTATACAGGTAATAAGTCGACTTTCCAAGTATAGGTGGTGGAGGCAGACCCAAGGTGTTCGATCATTCGTGCATTACTTCTGGCTCGAGAAGTCACCTTAGCAGAACCACCGACGTTATGTAAGCTAGCTGGATAGCTTCATTTGAACCCACATCAGTGAGGAGCAAGTGCTGTACAGTCAGTGACCTTAACCTCTCGGTTCAAAACACAGTTCAGGGGTGGTGCAGCAAATATTGCATAGTTTAAGCTTTGCTCAGTTAAATGTTTATTAAAGCAAATCTTAACCTGTGTAGTTGTATATATACTAGGGGGTATTTGTTTATGAACAATGAAAATGTCAACCAAGAAATATCTAAGACATGAGGGTCATATCTCACTTTATCACTGTTGAGACAAAACTGTCTCCTCTATATTCTGTAAAAAAGAAAATATAAGGCAAAATTCTTTCTTTAGTCAAGATCTTTATTTCAATAAAATATGAACTCTAACTGTCTTGTCAGATATTTGGAAGAACAAGACATTTCAGTAGCTATACTAGACAGTAAGTATGCAAGATTTATCTCTCTGTATTATGTGTTGCATTGACAAATTCATTTTTAATCTAATGTTAATATCACTTTTAATTTGTTCTTCGTTATTAGGTTTCTTGTTGCTACAAAACATTCCATAAATGTGTATCTTTATATTTGTCAAAAACACCAGTCTCTTATATGAATTGTCAATCACCTGCGATTATTATTTCATATTTGTCAGAATAGTCACGTTTAGACTAGTTTTTTTTTCTTTCCACTTAAATGTGGAAAGGTCCTCTCCTCCCTCAATCTGATTAACTAACGACTCCCTTTTAAATCCACAATGTGCTTCGCATCAACATTTAGCTATATCGGACTTTAGTCAGCTCAAACGTTAACATTTCTGTCCTGAAATTGTCTTTTTACATATCTTTGGAACTTTCAGAAGAACCGTTTCAAATAACCATTTGAAGATGAAGCCAATTTTGACTATGTTCCATTTCAACCAAACTGTTCATCATCTAAACTTGGCATAATATCCATTTCAAGTTCCCCTGTGACTGACTTAGACGTCAAAAGGACACATTCAATGGGTGCAAAGTCCGTTGATTTGTTGCGCTGTTCTTTAAATGTGTGATGGAATTCTTCATGGTCTACTTTAATGATTTCGATGTCGTTTTCCAAACAGTACGCCTCAATCAACTTGTGTTGGATAAGTGTAGAAATGTTCTGACTTATACCCCGTGGAAGTATGCATGTTTCAACTATTTCAGGGCACCTAAAATTAGACAAAACAGTTGATGTAATTATGACTCTTACAAACACAAAATCATAATACCGTGTAATTAATTTAAATAACTTATTATAAAGATAAAATTTAAACATCAGAAATTATTTTTTTTTAATTTAAATTCATCCTTAAACATTTTGAAAAAGCTCATCCTTAATCTACTTACATTTCAAGGACATGCGCCGATTCAAACAATCCTTTGATAAGCCTATCCTCCCGCTCAGCGATTTGAACTGAATTTTGGAATGTACAGGTGCTGTACTCGTCACATGACCTGATAAACAAAGAATACTGTCAGTACACTTTACAGATGTAACAAATTAAATTCTATATAACAGAGTTAACTAATGCATTCTTACAAATAACATTCTTAACTGAAATATGTAATCGCTACTTACGATCAGTTAACAAAATTATATAACTATTATAACCATAAATGATAAAATACATGACATAAAAGAAACTTTAGCGCCCTGGTTTATTTCATAAATATACTTAATTTAAATTTTATCGCTTGTTTTGATAAAAGAAACAGTACTTACATGTCAGAATCCGAGTCAAGAGATGAATTTCTGTCGTAATTTCTCATATTTACAAATACGTTAACACAAAGCAGAATATATCCAAAGTGTAATGTGTTCGCAACGATTCGTTCGTAGTGGAAATTTAACCTCGTTTGCCGTTTAAACTGTCATAATTTAGTTTTATACTACTGTACTTTCTGCCCTTTTTATCTGGTCTGTGATTGGTTGATATTTGTACACAAAACCACGTGATATCTAATATCGTACAAAAGTTCAATATATCATAAGATATTCTCTTGAACTTAGACCAAAGACCTTAGAAAGAATGATGAATACATGCATGAACAATGCAAGGTGTAAAATGGTGTTACATGCTGCAGCTTTGTTTAAACAAGTGTAATTTGAAATCGCATTCATTTTATCAAAAGATATCTTTGTTAAATCATTTGCAATACGTAATTGACTTCTAACATTGATATCAAAGTTAATCTATTCTAAGAAGAATGTAAGAATTTGCATTCATTAGCAAAATCAAAAAGATAAAAGTTTTCCTTAATCATTAGCATAGGATGTAAATTTTGTCGAAGCATCGTGCAATACTGCAGTAACCAGCAGTGAGTGACTAGATAATTATGTTGTGATATGTAAAACTTCGTCTGATAGTAATATAGAGCAAATACATGTCTTACATATACGGTCGGTCACTACTCTCATATTTGAGGTCATAAAAGTTTATGATATGGTTATGGTTCTGACAGGTTCTGACTATAAATTTGCTCAAGCATATTACTAAACGAAATGTAGGTTGAAGACTTCTTATGACCTTGTTTGACGTTCTTTTAAAATGTTTGTTGTTTTTAATTAAGGTGGTTTAAATAAGGCGAATGAAAATATTTAATGGCCCTGTTTTTGCTTACAAATAGGTTTACTTGGTGGGTACTAATTTGCAAAGATATACTGTGCCTGGAATATGGGAGTCCCTTTAGCACTGCAGGGAAAACAAATTTTAAAAAAGTCATAGACCTGGACTTGGGAGGTATAGGGAAGTGCAACGCCTCGCAGTAATTTTATTACTTACTTAAAAAAACTGATGGTAGGGGGTATGGTTTGTGATGAAAAGTCAATTTTACTGTGCATGGTTATTTTGGTTCTAATTATAAAGTAAAACCGGGTGTTATATCTTTATTTCAATCTGTTACACTTGGCCCTCCTTGTGGCACAAATATAGAATTATACACTATATGACAACTACGCACTTTACTTGTTGACTTGACTGATTTGACTTTTACAATAGCTGTCAGATATCTGATACGTTCTCAGGTGGCACCTCCTGGATATTTTAGGTAACTGTAAAACGCCCCTGTAATATAATATAGCTAGAACATGAGAAATGGTAGTTAATAGTACACTTTCCGCAAGGTGTTCCATATATATCATTAAATGTTCTAGTATTCACAAATCTAATAGGTTGAATGTACGAGTTTTAATTATATTGTCAACTTCTTATTTCAACTATTTTGCATTAAGCTTAAAAACATTTAACACTGTAGCCTTTCTACAAACGTGAGCTGCCACCATTTTTCTTAGTTTATGTATAACAAATTTATTTTGTTTTGATTAGTTCATATATATGAAAAATACCATCTACTTATGACTCATCATTCCTTCATTTCGCATCAATAACACAGAAACATACAAAATATAAGAATATCAAATTATATTATTTATTTTTTCAACTTTATGCTTGAAAGATCAAAAAGTAGTTATTTGTAAATTTAAATAAGCACAACGAGGACAACAATATGCAAGATCCTTAACCCGAGGGAACGATACGTGATTCACCTCTAACTCAAGCATAGAGCCAATGTCAGCCTGTACTGCCATGCAGTTTGACTTGGCAACATTTTTTTTTGTATTTTGTTAATAATGGACTTTTCCAAAATTACAAGGCACATCCAATACACACATTCACCAAGTTGATGGTTAATAATGTATTTTATTCAGATAATTTATTTATTATCTGAAAATATCGTTTAGGCAATCAGCATGTAATAGAAGTACAACTTCTTTCATCTAACCCGGACAAATTTCTTTGTCACTACGTGTTACTGTTTACATAATGTTTGTAATAACTTTGTACTCAGATCATTACTGTAAAAGTGGACTACGTTTAAGGTCACTTGAAGTGTACACTATCAAACCAAAATAGCGGACTAAATACCAATTAAGTAAATCATATACATGGTTAAGTTATTTTAAGCTAAAGAATGCTTCTTGTAAATTATATTGTATTTGTATCAACTTGATAAATTGTTGAAGGCTTTGCGACTTCCGAAATGAGTGACGCAAATTTATTCGCTTGAAATAGATTTTTCTTTGACTATCCAGTTTATTTACTTAATATATACGTCATTTAAAAGTCTTGAAAAGAACAGAGAAATAATATCAAAAAGGCTCGTAAATTTTAAGAGACGAAAAGAATAATTTCTTTCAGAAAACAAAATGTACTACAGAAAGGTTGATATAAAAATATTCGTCATGTTCCGACTGATGAACATGTATATCAGTACACTCAATTCTTAGTTGATCTAAATTCAAAATTAAAAGAATCAAATTTCAAAGACAAAATGTTATATAATGTGAAATTTGATATAAAGTTAATGATATTGCAAGACAAATAAAGAGTTTTATGCTAATAACAGAAAAAATCATTCGAACACTTATCATGCTGTGTCCATTTCGGTCGATGGCTTGACGTTATCGCCAAATATACTCTCCGACCCTCCATATATAGAGTCGTGTTAAGTCGTTGACGGTACTGATTGACATGTGTTTAATAAACTCATTCGACATGTTCAAATCCAGACCACCCCTTTGATCCAGACCCGGATATAAAATTTAGCAAAACAATATAATCATATTTTAATGAAGGTTTTTTTCCCTACACGTTACATGTAAGAGAGAAACAAGTATTTAAAGACAAAATAAAAAGTTACTCTTGGCTGTGCGTGTCTTTGTTTGTTCTGTGTCCAAGTTAAAACAGACTAACTGTAATAGTGTACTTAGAAATGAACCCCCCCCCCCAAAGTATCGTGAAAATTAAAGCGGTTAGGTACACAATGGGTACATTTATCATAAGTATTTCAAATATGTATAATCCATCTTATTAAAAAGATGTTGATTAAGGTCTAAATGATTCAGTAGGATCAATTTAAAGTGATGAGTATTAATTTTCTGTTCTAGAACAATTTATTGTATTGTCATATGTAATATCGGATCATGTATATCACCCTTGCCAACAACATTCATATATAATTCTTTCGTGGTTTTTGTTATGTCTGAAACTAAGTACTATAAATATAATTATGTATCGTTTTAAAGACCTTCCATTATAAACCAATGCTTTTTAATACAATTAATTAAATGCAAAGAAAGATGTCAAAATCACATTGAAATACTTTGCAAAGCATGTGAAATAGCAACCGCTTAAAAGGAACTGCAGACTAAAATAAACAAAAACAACTGTCACAAAGAAAATGCCAACATTATGACACAACACTAATTTGCAATCCGGAAAGACACATTGATATGTGAAAGAACAAAAACTCTTAAGTTGCACGACTTAAGATGAGCCAAAATATTTCAAGAACATCAAACTTGAGGAAAAAGTAAAATTTTAGGAAAAGCAAAAATATTCAAAATTCAAGTAATAATTTACATGTTATGTGCGATTAAACACTGACTTTGCAGTATTTATCGTCATATTTCTTCTGCATGACTAACGAAGTAAGAGATATTTTTGCATATTTTGACCTGTTTTTAGGGTAATTATCGTGAAATGTAAGTGTCGCTTGCAATGTGTAAATTTCATTCTTTGTTTACTCCACAATAATAGTTTTCTCTCAAATACTGTGAAAATTAGCATGAATTTGGAGGCATGCTGCTTTGATACATTGTAACGTACCATTATCGGCTTCTTTGATTGTCTGATATGATAGCCTGGTATGACAATGGTTCACTGACAAAAAGGCCAATACATACACTTGTAGACCTGTTCTAGACAGTTTCACCAGTAATGAATTCTTTTACAACATATACAGGGAGGTAGAGATTCATATCACTTGCACGGAATGAACCTGACCGCAAATATTAAATTAAGTCAATTCACGGTGCACTCAATCTGTAACAAATGTTCCTTTTATATATAGTTAAGCCTTGTGATATTTGCATAGTCAGTTAAAATGAATCACATGCATAATGTTAAAGGTATTCTTGCCTCAGCATTTTTGGATACAGTGCATTTCAAATATAACTATATACACCAATAAATAAGCCATTATGACGAGTTAGTTATTGGTATGTTCTGACATATTTATACGTTATATTAAACTACCGGTATACATGAAAGTTGACCTTTGATGTCATATTTGAAATCGATGGTATATTTGCTGCCAATATCCTTTGTGTATGCATACACATGTCATATCAAACTACCACGGCACATGTATATTTAGAAATATAGAAATTACTAGAAACAAATAAATGAATTAAAACAAAAGAACTAATGAACAGACAATGAAGAGGAATAACGGAACTGTTCGTTTCAAAATAAATGTTATGAATAATTACTACGATAAGTAATCATTAATCTTTGTTACGATTGGTATAGTTTGTGTTTTAGTCAGTAAAAACAAGTGCATTTTAGGGATAATGTTCATAGAAAAATTTAAAGGGCAAATGTGTTGAATGTGTTATTGAAAATAACAACACATCAGTACTATAACCTATAAGGCAGAAAAATCTCTATCGGTTTCTGTGTCCTCCAGTATTGAATAAGGTGAATGTCCGCAAAACCATTCTTATATGAAATTTATAGCCATATTAACCACCGTATTTGTCTTGATATACTGGCATTAGACCTTTCGTTCATTGCCACAAGTCCTCCATATGTTCATTATAAAAATAAATGCAACGTATATCCTCAAGGTAAGATGTCAAAACAAAGCTGTTTGTGTGTAGTTGACATTTTAATAATATGTTTTAGCTGAATCAATCTTTTAATATAACAATATTATCAATACATGGTTTGGATTCATATTCTTTTCGTTGATGGAATGTCATTTTTTTGGAGAAGACCTTTCCCTCCACCGTTGTAACAAGAACTCAATAAGAACGATTGTCTCTTATTTTCTTTAAAAAAAGACATTTGCAGGAACCATATAAAGCATAAATATCATTCTCGATTCTTTTACATCGGGCATTCTTAATTTTTTTAAAGTATTTCAAATCTAAAATATGAAGACATGCAAAAAAGGTTTGATAGGTCAACGAAAATTGTAATTCCAATTGAAGTTAATATAAAAATGCAATTGAACTTTAGACTATTTTTTATAGATTCAATTCATGTTAAATTCAGTTATCTGCTACTTGCCCGAGGTCTAATGAGAAATATTTAAAACTGAAATGTAATAGAAATTTCGCTGGCTATGGTACAAAATTTAGCGTTATTTCTATTGACACATTACGAAAGGGGAATTATTTCTTGTGTCAAAAGGTTAGGAAGAAACACCCGGTAAAATACCGTTGGCAGCGACGGTGCGCGCTTTTTACAAGTGTTTTATAGTACGTGTGGTTTAAATTGTATCGATATTCGTCTAATGGCGGGGGATTTTAACAGTCACCGTGTGTCAATGTGTGTGGTTTACATGATCAGCAAATATGATCGCTTTGAATTATTTCTAAATGGATGACAAACAATTTAATACGTATAATATCATTTTTCTTAAACTAAATACCTTAAACCACCATGCTTAATATGTTTGTTAACAAGCCTGTGGCCTTAATGAATATATTTAACGAAAGTCACTTCATAGGGGTTTCGTTAATAGCCAACCATAAAATCCAGCCTTTCTTGGTTTATACTTGTCCACAATCGTTTTCTAATTTGTTATTATCATGAATTTGCAATTAATCAGACCTAAATTAACCAATGCATTTCCTTTTATCACATAACCTTGATTTGTATATCATGTAGGTAAAGGCAATATCTGATATACAGTATATTTGGAGTCAAGATGCATGTTTAACAATGATCAATACTGTAAATTGTTAACATTCACATCTTGGTTAAAATTTCTGTCACTTTAAGCTTGATCTGCTTATTATTTGTAAGCTTTAGATGACCAAGCATCTTATAAAGCCAGATTTTAGTTTAACATAACCAAATGTATCTCTGACAGTATTAAATACGAGTGGTTTGTTTTTACATAATATTGTGGCCATCCAAAATGAGCCGGTCTAATTCTAATGTGTTACTTCAACTTTGTATTTATTCATAAAAAGTTTGAACATTGCAGTGAATGTTGAAGTTGCATTTTCATATTGATATCAGAACAATGCTATTATTTTTATTACTGACATACTATCACTTTGAGATTGGTATCTTTGTTGACATTGCTTGTTGAACATCTTAAAATATTGGATTTAGATTGTTTGGTTTATATATAATAACCTAATAGACAAACAATTTTCTTCTGAGTTAATCACAGAATATACTTATGCAAATTCATGATTGAAATGCAATAAGACGTGTTTCGAGGCTTTTTCGCGGCAAGAGGTTGAATTCTACCTAAGCCAGTGCGAGGGGGAGGTGCCGTTAGCTTGCAATTACCATTACCGTCCATCAAACCGAGCCTGCAACAATTTCAATTTTACCGTGCCGGGCTTTCTTTAGGGATTCGGGTTTTTCTATTTGATATGCTTAACATAACATTTGGATACTCTTTCTAAAAACTTTCCAAAATAAAGAATAAATATACTATTCATGAAAATAGAATAAACGTATGTTTGCTATTTACATAATGTATCATGACAATGATTAAAACTTGCTCCATAGAATTCAGTCATCACCAAGTGGTTGTAAGAGGCCAAGTTCATAAAGCACTTTTCTAAATATTATCTAAATACTATCACGTTTAAGACAAACAATGTTACGAAACATTTGCATAAGTACAAAATTCCTTATATCCTTCCATATATAGAAACGCAGAAGTGTTTGGCCCTAGTATCTGGCATGTTTTCAACCTTATATAAGGATATATAAATCAAAGACCTTGTTTTTCAAACTTGACTATGTTTGCTTAAATGCACTACAGAGTACTGAAATTGAAAACATTTAGTCATGCATCTTATTTAATACAAGCAACACTTTCAATAAATATTTCTAAAAGGAGCCTCGTTATATAAAAACCGATAATGAAAGCATGTTTCTTAGGAATGTAAATGGGGATGGTTTAATTCTCGTTTTGTCTACATGTTTTTAAATGGAATATAACAAAGTACATCTGAAACATTTAAGCACAAATGTTTTTTAAAAAGGTCTATATATACTTCAAAACATCGATTTATAAAGAATAAGATATACAAAATCTGATATTCTTTACATTGTGTGTTTCAGTTTTACATTCAGGGTGGAAAGAAGCAGGTGTTTCTCTCATTAAATGAGCCGTGTCACGACAAAACCAACATAATGGATTTGCGACCAGCGCAGTCTGATCAGGATCCATGCTGTTCGCTATCAGTATCTCTACTTGTAATAGGGTTGGCAAGCGAACAGCATGGATCCTGATCAGACTGCGCGGATGCGCAGGCTGGTCTGGATCCATGCTGGTCGCAAACCCATTATGTTGGTTTTGTCGTGACACGGCTCAAATCAATTCCAAGAAAATGTAACTGATGCATTATTTGAATTTCGTTAGGCAACACATGTTGGGAATGGAATGTTGAAATATCAAAGCTTTGTTTGAAATATTTCCAAACTAGAAAGTCGGAAAAGGTCAATAATGTTAATATCTAATAAACTGTACAAACGGGTATCTATCAAAGTTAAGGAATAAGTAAAACGAAATTGTTGCAAAATACTTTTCATTTATTTCATAATCACAGATGTTTATGTAGTCCAGTAGAATAAAGGATTGGCTCAAATAATAAAAATCATGTATGATCCAAAAGTTGTTTTTTCCCTGAAATGTCTTAAAATACAAATCAGTTTAAGTAGTAAATGTCGATTTTTTTCTAAGTTACACTAATTAAACCATCGAAGCTTTTGAAGTTGTACATCAAATGAATATATCTATCTATCAATGGCAATGTCCTGGTAATTTATTTGTCTGGAAACAAAACAAACTCCTCTAATCAATCAAGTATGTTCATTAGTGAATCATCTAAGAGTTAATCTTCATCATTTCAGGCACCAGAAGGCTATTGAAGAATAGCTTTGTATTCAACACTGTAGCTCATTCAAACGTGTTACATTGTTCATGTAGACCAGTTCATATATATTCCCTCAACTCATAATACTTCTATCTATCATTATGCACCAACTTGGATCATTTAGAAATGGATCAATGAATTAAATGTCCATGACTCCATGCATGTCCTCTAGGCATTTCAACTCTCAATGTAACGAACTTTTATAACAAATTCGCTGTATTTATGGGCTGATATCTTCATTGTCATCTTCCGACTTTCTAAAAGCATCGCCTCATACAGTGTAATAGGATATGTGGGTCCCTGAAAATATAAAGTAAAATAAACTACATGTATAAACATCTTTCGTTCTTTAACAAAAATAAGAGCAATATTTCTATGTTCATTAAAATTCCTATTGGAGTGATTTAAGAATGCATTTTGTAAGGGATTGCAAGCAATTTTAAGTTAAGAGCATCTATCGATAGTAAAAAAAATAATATTTACCATTAAATGATAATTCCATTATGATTATGACTGCATATTCAACCAAAGTTTTCATCCATCTCAGTACATGTTCCATCAAGTTCGTCTTCAACTGGTTTAGATGTTATAAGCACACATTCGATGGTTGACAAGTCCATGGATTTGTTACGCTGCACTTTGATTGTATGCTGGAATTCTGCATGATCTAGCTCGACAATCTGAATGTCATTTTCCCAGCAGTAGGCCTCAATCAACTTGTGTTGGATGTGTGTTGATATGTCCTGACTTTTACCACTTGGGAGTATGCATGTTTCAACAATGTCAGGGCACCTGAAAATGCAATAACGTATGTTGTAGATAATATATTTACCTTAAGTCAACAATGTATTCCTATACCTTGGCATATGATAACAAAAAGCTTCATAGATAGTTCAGTCGTTTCAACACCTCTTTCATGTTTCGTAATATTTTATTCGAGGTATTTCAAAATGATCAAATGAGATAAAAACAAGCATTGTTTACGTCAAGATCAGAAGCATACAAATAAACTTACATTTCAAGGACACGTGCGGCTTCAAACAACCCTTTTATAAGCCTATCCTCTTGTTCAGCAAGGTATACCGAATCTTGGAATGTAAAGTTGCACTCGTCACCTGACCTGTTAAATAAGAGTACAGTTATTTAGTGCATGCAAGTTGAAGATAAGGTTACTTTATGAACTTGATTTAAATATGATGAATTTAAGACTACGTTGTTGATAATTACATATAGAGTTGCAAATTGAATTTAATATATGATGCACAGTTGAGCAATTCTTATTATTATATGTTATATAATATGCTAAAAGGTGTTTTTGTTTTTTTTAAATTCCAAAGGTTAATAAAGAAAAATAAATGAACTTACATGTCAGCATCCGAATCAACAGACATATCCCTTTTGTAATTTCTCATTTTTACAATCACTGTCTTACACAAATAAAACAATATATCCTTTAAGTGTTAATTTAAAATGTTAAGTTAGCAATGTTACTCGCTCGATAGTTTAACCTTGTTTTGTGGATACAACAGTATCGATAAACATATATACTACTGTACTCTGTGTCCTTTCTAGCGAACTTTTGATTGGTTAAATTTGTCAGACTGCACCACGTGGTGTTTTTCGTACGAATATCATGCGATTCTCCTGAATGAACTGTAGCAATATTGTAGTAAAATCAGAACATTTACAACAAACAAAACAATAAAACAAATACTAACTACAGATCGGATGGGGAAAAACGTATTGCTTTCAACTTTAGGTGTAATTTAAAGTTCAAACACATTTTGTAAATGCAAATTACAATAGTGATTAGTGTACATTTGATAAAAAGAATAGTGTTTTGAAACCATATTAACATGATTTAAGCTTCTTTTTTTAAAAAAAAGATCGTTTTCCGAGCTTTGCTGCACAGAAATTGGGTGCCCTTTTTTCAATGAAGTAAATATCGTCTTAACTCGTGTTGTCTGGTTTTGTGACCTCGGGGCATCTCTGAATCAACCCATATGACCCTGATGACTGTTCATGTGATACTAGGCATAGATAACTGCAATATTGTGTTAGACAATTTATGACTGTATCAATAAAATTGAACAGGTGGTATTCGCCGTGTCAAGCATGTCGATATAATTTATGAGTTGTTTAAATTCCTGTGTGGCGGATCCATGCAATGCATGAGACCTGATATATTTACTTTACTCTGATAAAAGAACAAAATCCCCGGGGTGTAAGTATATGTCGCAGTCTTGAAGAGTATTGTAATTAAAGGACTTTGGAATATTTAAGATTAGAATATTCAATTCGATGCAATTATTGATTTAAAACGCCAAATAAAAATCAATCGCAGATAGGTATTAGCAATTTACGAATAAAACAAGACATGGGAAAAGAATGCACTAATGTTAAAACCGAAGCAATGTGTAATTATTACTAAAAAATGAATAGCTATACGAAGTCTGAAAACAAACTACGATGCTTTGTTGTATGAAAGCGAGTGATTCATTTCAAAAAGCTATGTAACTAATGACTGAATGACTGTTCATTCTCTGCTAATAGCTGGCTGTTTTAACTGTTAAAACTAGTACATACACCTGTATACCTATCATAAAATCAGTTTTACGAGATAACATATACATTATCTGAACGTTATGACCTTAACCACAGTTATCAAGGAAGACAATTCAGCGGTAATTTATTTCGAATAACATCTTCATTCAACATTTTTTTTTTCAAACTATGTGTAGGGTATAGGATTAAGTTATAAATATTTATTAGTGCAAATATTTTGTAGATATTTCTTTTTGAAGATATGTTAACCAATTTTATATTACTCTTCGGAGGACAAATGTTTTACACATGTATCATTATTTTATAAATCATATATTTTAGTTGAAGCGGTAGTTTAGTGGGAAACGCGTACTTAGCATATCATTCAAGTTATTTTATGAAAATGACTAATTGTCTTTTGAATTAGTACTTATGGGGGGTATACGAATGAGTAACAAAAAAAAAGTTTCTAATTCATTAACCAACTTTACCGCGGACGGTAGATCACTATCATTTAAACCAATGCTATTAACTTATTAAGCCGTTTACGCTTAATCTGCTAAACTGCATACCACACGCAGCCGTTAGGTATTAATATCTATGTGATTTTCTACAATACCTAACATAAGGGGTGGGTTCGCGTCCTCATGGTTAGGAAACCCACAAGAAAGTTTAAAGCGGCAACGTAATATAGCATAGAGGGTGGTAGACGCCCAGCGACAACGGACTTACTGCAGTATAGGCCTACACACAAAAAAGTACAATTTTTTGATGTTTTTGCAGAGTTGCACATACCTTTAACTGTTTCTTTTGTTTGATTTTACGGGGCACCAAAACAATTAAGGTTACAACTGTATATAGCACCGAAACAGGAAAGATGATTTTGGCTAACCTCGCGTGTTACAAAATCTAAGCAACACCGGGTGTCAAAACCACCTCACCGGCTGGAGCTAAAGATGCGTATAGACTCCACTAATTCTAACCCATTTAGTCGCCTCTTACGACCACGCAGGGATAAACGGTGGCTGTAATTCTGATGCCTTAACCCTTTAAGACAACCTCTCAGCTACAAGGGGGCTTTCACTGTTTCAATTCTAGTAGTAATGAAATTTATTACTTCGAGCGAAAGCAGTGGATATCCCCGTATGTTTGGTGAAAATTTATGTGAATAATCACACAATTCATTACCACGATGACTTGATGTTATTTCAGTAAAATAAATAATGCACTATTGTTGTACAAAAGTTTCTGTTCTATTTTAAGTTGACCTTGCAAAATGCATAAATATAATTAGTATACACAGCGCATTTAAAACTATTCCAAATATTTAAGTACAAAGAAATAGCTAGCATTTGCACAAAGGTAAAAGAATGTTTAGAGACAATCTTGATAAAGGGAAATATTTGACGGGTCATTGAGTTGGTATAAAAAAACACCGGGTAAAATACCATTGGCAGCCTAACGCGGGTATAAATCAATCTTTACGTTGTAACCAATGGTTAGTTGTTCCTGGTCCGGATTACAACGTTATCTCGCCTACTAAATATTAACGAACACATAGGGAATATTTAATAACTCCTGGGTGCTACCGTTTGTGGTTATCCCTTAAGTTATGTGCTCCTTAAAGTGTTTTAATAATTAGAGAATTAAGTGTCTGAAATACTTTTATCATCTTCACTTGACATATTAAAGTATAAATGCAACAGAAAATAGATACTGTGGTAACTGTCATTTTTACATGGTGAGTTATTATATACTTGTTCTACATATAAGCCGCGTCACGACAAAACCAACATAATGGCTTTGCGACCAGCATGGATCCAGACCAGCCTGCGCATCCGCGCAGTCTGATCAGGATCCATGCTGTTCGCTATCAGTTTCTCTACTTGTAATAGAGTTGGTAAGCGAACAGCATGGATCCTGATCAGACTGCGCGGATGCGCAGGCTGGTCTGGATCCATGCTGGTCGCAAACACACTATGTTGGTTTTGTCGTAACGTGGCTCATATATACATATATGTGGTTATAAAAGATGTCGAGTACAAAATAATTTTAAAGTCTTCTTCTACAATACCCAAATCACTTACATAAAACTGAAGGACTTTGAACTCGGGTCAATTATCACGATATACTAAACACAGGAAAAATAACAATTTTCTGTTAATATCGTTAATTAGAAATCAATGGTGTCAAAGAAAGGAATGTGCACTTAATGTTCTCATACAGTAATTTCTAGTGCAGCACCAGCCATGAAATCTGTAATCAATATTACCGTATCTTAGAAAATAATTAATGAAATGATGGTTGACATTCATGTTAAGCTCTTAAAACGTATAGATGTTGCTCTCCAGTTAACCATGCATTTATAGGAGATGTATTCCGTTGGACACATTAATTTCATTTTGACTTTAAAAAAAAACAACAGATATTCACACACAGCAACTACTGTCGAATGGTTCATAAGCTATCAGCTTCACCGTAATGATTAATGGTGCAATGCATGTAAAACATGACATCATATTCTGTTTTCGGCAAAACGGTAAAGAGCAGCAAGGATAGAGGTCAAGCTGGTTGCTAAGCAACAACTGGAGATATACATAAAGAACTGATCTGATTCTAATGCCATACCTTTTCTTTACAATTGAGATGAAATAAAATATTCGCATTCTATTTTGGACGTAAAATAAGACCGAACCAATATATTGGTTAACAGAAACCATGAAGATGGGATAAAATGAGCCGCGTCACGACAAAACCAACATAATTGGTTTGCGACCAGCATGGATCCAGACCAGCCTGCGCATCCGCGCAGTCTGATCAGGATCCATGCTGTTCGCTATCAGTTTCTCTACGTGTTACAGGGTTTGTAAGCGAACAGCATGGATCCTGATCAGACTGCGCGGATGCTCAGGCTGGTCTGGATCCATGCTGGTCGCAAACCCATTATGTTGGTTTTGTCGTGACGCGGCTCAAATGCCTTTGTTGATTATTTTCTTCATAACAGGTGACGTTTTGTGATTGACAAGGGCATTGTGTTTCTCTTTTGGACATTGATCACTCCAGTGTAAATCGGTTATCGAATTTGAGACGGATTTGTTTAATATAAATGAACCTTGTCTTATGTAAAAGTAAGTCACATTCCATCAAGTAATCCGGATATCGTACCGCTACATATGGTTTTATATATGTATGGCTTAAATCTAAACAGGATATATAATATCTATTCAATAGAAAAATAACAAAAGAATGATTATATTTACATATTCAATTTTATTTTATTATTTCTGGCTATATTAACAAGGAGTAATATGTAATTCTATTCTCTTCGTACACAAGTCAGTAAATGAAATTATATCATTTAAATACAATTTTTAATAATATCTAGTTTCATCTTACAGTACACAAGGATGAAACAATAACAGAACTTGAAATATAAAAATCAGCATTTGGTTACATCAATATGCAATCAAAATACAGAAAACAACATTTTACATATAAATAACCACATAACTAAAACGTTGTTTTTCTTTTCTGTTTTTTGTCGTTGTTTTTTTTTTGTTGTTGTTTTTTTATTTTTTTTTTATTTAGTTTTTTTTTTCTGAACAAATATGCAAGCATTACACTTAATATAATGAATCTATAACTAAGATAAACAATTTCTTTTCCATAAAACTCTTATTATTTATTATAAGAATTCATTTCTGCTCAACATATTTTCCAATATCCATACTAGCTTATGAAATAACTGAAAGTCATTCAAAGTCTTAAACTTAACTGAGTCATTCAAAGTCTTTAACTTTAAAATGTTTTCTCTCTTGCTAGATTTCATCATCTTTACAACTTCATCCTTTTTACAAGATTTCTATTTCATGTCTTGTATCTCTTTTTCCAATACATTTGTCTCTCCTCCCTTAAACACCATCTTCAATTCCAAGTAACACAATGAAAGAACACATGAAAATGTACATTAGCATGAAACACTGGTCAGTTCAGTCTGACGTTGACCAGGGACGAACTCACTGGTCAACTATGTTAAAGGTCCAAATGGACTACCTTAAACCACACAGTATTAATGATAATGATGTTGTGATGTCCAGATACCCGGATGATACATCGTAAGTCACTGGTCCTCAAAAGAGTTCCCATAATGCTTTTCCGATGATGATGATGATAAACCAGGTCTATATACACTGGGACGGGCACTGTTTCACTTTTTTGGTTATTTTAAGAATTTACCATATTTTTTTTTGGTATTTTCCTGAAAATATAAAATGTAATATCTATAAATAAACGTTCTTTTTTTAACAAATGCAACATTACCCAAGTAATATTTTATGATAATTTAAAAATTATCAGTCGTATCAAGATATATGATGTTATAAACTTACAAGATGATAACCTTTTTATGTACCGATTAATCATGAATATCTAAAATTAACTGAAGTTATTATATTAAAACTAAACCTACCAACTGTTTTGGGGGATGCAGTAGGACATTGCATAAATGCAACATCAAACAGGTAAGTCGATGATCTGATTTGGCCAAATTTGTTCCATCAATCTATTTTCATGTTTATTTGATTTCTCTTTTGGTGGCCAACCAATCAGCACACATGAGCAATCCATAGAAGGTGACATAACTGGTTTGTCGTTAGCAGACTTCTGTTGTGGTGATTCGTCACCTAACAGTGAGATGAATTTCTCGCAGTTGCTTATCTGCAAAAAATAAATAATAAATATTTAACTAAACATTCCCTACATAAGCAGTTAACCAATCAGATACAAGTAAATTTTAAACGTCCTGGTTTACACAAAAAAAATATAAGGAAGTTTAGCAGTAGATTTAAAGTCCCCATGAATGTTTATCTCATAAATTTACCTCATCAGATAATGGTTAATAAAAAAAAATATATTTATTAACATTCTTAAATGTAATTCATAAAATTTACCTTTGCAACTTGTATGTCATTCTCCAAGCAGTATGCCTCTATCAATTTATGCTGTATGGATGCAGCAATGTCGTCCGGTGCTGTTTCTGGCATTAAGCACAGCATAACCAACTCTGGAAAGCTTTCCAAGTAGCTTGCACACTCAAATACACCGCTGGTTATTCTGTCGTCTGCTTTTGCCCTGCGCATCACCTTTGACAAGGTGTCACCTAAGGTTTTTTCAACCCTAAAATAAAAGAAGCAGAAATGTAAATATAATAAATAAATATCTAGTTATATCAATAACGTTTCATCTATAGATCGATTTAGTATTTTCTGTACATACGAATATTCGGGAACACAACCGATTGCACTGTATGGTGCAATAATCAAGCGTTAACCTTGACCTTACAGTTACCTCTTCGGGTACCCAGCAACCATCGTATGTAGTAGAAACCTTTAAACTACTTGCTAAAAAGCGCAAAGTTTTCACTTATGGTTACTGACGCACCTTTTATTCAGCATTGATGAAATTCAAAATATCTTAAAAAGTAAAAGTTGAAAATATCGATTAGATCTAGATCTACAAGATATAGTTTTTGAAATAAACTTTTTTGATAAAAACAAGAAACTTACTTTTTATTTTTCATGTTGTTTACTTCTTCTTTGTCGGGTAGCGTCATTTTTATCCAAAATAATCACTTAAACCTTAAAAACTTGCTATAATGTTAAACACGTCTGTTCTGTATCGTAGAAAAGTAAGGAATGCGGGAAGGCAAACCCTCATGTGATTTAGTTGATTTTTCAGAACATGACCCGACACGAAGCGGGTTTTCCTAGAACAACGCACCTGATTGGCTAAAAATATAGGACGGTATTTCCCTAGCAACAGTGCACATTGCAATTTATAGGCTCGTTTAAATGTTTTCCAAGTTAGAAATTATTGTAAACTTAATGTAATGTATACCTAGTACAGTGTTAAATACGTTTATGATTTTAATACATTTATAATCTAGCATGATATGCAGAAAAGCAAGTTGTTTACATTTTATCCAATTCTCCCAACATTCACCTGGCTCAGGGGACTTTCCAAAACCATACGTATTGAAATCGTTAGAACGATTGCACAACGTGTTTCTGATTCAATAATCTATTTATAGACACGGGAAAACCGGGCCGCTTAAGCTATTTTAAGATCAACGTTTAAATCACTTGATATTACAAAAAGTAACTTTCGATACAAAAACAAATAATTGCAATATATAAAGATTCTTACAATAACAAACATATTTATTTCGGGCTATATTTTAAGACGTATATTAGGAGGTTTAAATTTGAACGTGAAATACCCGGATGTTAAAAGTTAAATTTCGGGACACGTATGACAAACTTATGACAAACGGACACGCTGGAAGTTATTACATTTAGCTACTCGTGGCCTAGATGGTGTGTTAGTGTTTGCCTGATGCAAGCTTTCACAAGATTTATCATGGGATATTATTCTAACTAAATAATATATCAAGGTCCAACGTTCTGTGTCAAGAGGCGATTATAATTATCAGTATAATATGCGAAGAGTAAGACGGTGTCAGGCGGTCACTAATCTAACCGTATTATAATATATTATATATCAAACCGTATCAAATTGACAAGATTATGCAAATATCAAATAATTAATCAAAATAATCAAATAAACAATTATCAACAATAATAAAAAATATTTTTGGAAAATCTGATCGTGCTTAAAAATAGTTTGTCTAAAAACAAGATGCCCAAAACATGTATCATATAAATTTTTTGATTTTAATTTTTAAAATTAAATAACCCCATTTTCCAAACTGTAAACCCCTTTTCACTCTTAATATTTTTAACTTGGGCTTGTCCATCCTTTCAATCTGGGGCAAAAACCTTTCTTTTCTATGGGAATTTATTTTTCAAAATAAAAAAAATATTTAAATGAATGACTAAAAATGCCCGACCTTCAATCAACGGGGCCCAGGGTGCCCACCCAAAAACCCCTTGGGTTTTATTCTGGGAGTTGCAACCCCGGGGGTAAGAGTTTTCTATTCTAGTAATATTCTTTTTTGCACTTAAACGTATAACTTCCCTTTACATGTAAGGGAAAAATCCCGCCCGCCTAGGGGAGATCCGAAACCCCAAAAAAGACAAGGATTTTTGAATGTTTATACTGTCACTTATCGGCAGCCAGCGCTTTGATACATTTTTTTTCCCAAACTTTCTTTAGGGGACATGTAAAATTCTTATTGCACATTGAACATTTGCACTATTGATATAACGGTCCACAAAACAAACTTCAATGTAAGATATATTGTTTATCGTTTTAATATATTTTAAGTTATTACAGTCATGTATAACTAATTTTGCAGATACCGTCTGATGTACACACTTAGTCATTTAAAACTAGGTACAGCCATAATAAGATCATTGTGTGACTGATTCGATCTTTTTATAGTCATTTTACATATCTCTGTATAAACAATGACTAAGAGATCACCCATTTTTAGTCATACCAAAAACGTCCTTAAAACAAAACAAATTCAAATAACCAATAACCTTGTACACTTTTTGCTTTATCATAATCTTATGTAAGTTATGTTGTAACCATAGCAACCTTACTAATTGATTGTTTCTATGCTGAATAAAACTGAACTTTGTTTTCAATTGTTTTCATTGATTTGCAAGTAAAAATCCGGTTGCATGATATGTCAAAGCAATTTAGTACTATATTTTGCACTCATCATAAAAGTTTTAAATTGAATAACTCTAGGCATGTTGTTTTATAGTCAATAGAATTTCCAATTATATTGTCAACAAAAATAGAACCATGCATTTCACATGGTTTAGGTTAAGTGGAATTTCTTGCTGAAATATATGTTTTAAAAAGCTTACATAAAAGAAAAACGGTTTATATGTTAATCATTTAAATAAACATTTTACCACCGTTAAAAGTTGATACGGATATATGTATATGTACAATATTAAGCTTAAAGAATGCGGTAATTGTCCGTACATGGCACGGTATCTATACTAGACTACTACCTATACTGTATAAGGGTATGTCCGTCATGTCTAAATAAGGACCTTAATCCACTCCTATGCTGGTATGTCAAGGACATTGCGCTTCCGGTGGTTAACAAAAAAAGAAGTTTAAATGAGTAAAACCTTTAAATATAAAACCAGTATGTTAAATCGGCACATGTGTAAGTAATGGGAATAATGTCCGGAATGTGAAATATTCCTACCTCAAAAACGAGGCAAGTTCTGACATATAGTTGACGGCTTGCAAAAGGAATGGGTTTTTACTTGATTAGTGCACACCTAACATTTTCTATACTAGAATATAGGACATATTCAACTATGATAGTTTAACATTAAAATGCAAGGTATTTTGCATATAATATAAGTCCTGAAAATAGGACGTAAAGGTTCAAAATGTATGATGGTTTTGATCTATCAATTAAATTGCATTTTATATTTGTAATCTTAATGTTATAAGCCGGGCAAAAGCAATATTTAGGACTATTAATGTTAAACTGTTATTTAAAGCAGGATTGTCCCAGAAACCGTCCTACAATTTATGCTGGACTTAATTTGTATTCATCTACTAACAACTTACAGTTACATCTTTTAACTTTGATAACCGAAATACAGGCGTACATCGAATAACTGAATGTAATAAAATTAAATGGGCGGGGATGGATATCACATAATCTGTACTGCATAATCAAAGCATGCTTCACCACAAACATCAATGCACCATCTGTCCCCTTCCTTTTTTAGAAGTGTGGGGGCAATTTAATACCTCAATTTCTCCGCCCTGTATGATAGAATAATTAAAGGTACATGCCTCCAGATGAGCTAAAATAAGTCAAGAAAATCAGCCTAAAGAAAATTCTACTAAATATTGTAGAAAAGTAAAAAAAAAATTACAATTCAAGTAAAAATCAACAACGTGCAATGTATGACTAATTTTGCAGTATTTAACACCATATTTCTACATCGTGACTAACGCAGTTTTATTTTGTAATTACATGGATTGAAAGTGCATTTTGCAATGTTAAAGTCCCCGTTTTTTGTTTGTTTTTTTTTGCGTTAAAATTTCACCAACGCAACGGCGGGTTCATTTCATCCGCTACCCCACACATTTTTCTGCGTGCATGAATGTGCCTTGGTGCACATCAATGCATGCAAAATAAATTTTCACAAGCCAATATTTTTTTACTAATTGACCGTTTAAAGGGAGGCTATTTATTCATTTATACGAGTATCTTATGTATCGGTAGTCTCTCTTGCTGCATGCTAAAAATAAAATCGTGGAAGTCTTCCTGGGATTTACTTTCCTTTGGTATACCAAATAAAACTATTTATTAGCAAAAAGGAAGTCGGAAAGATAATTTGATAAACAAAACAAAAAAAGAACTTGGAGACATTACAACAACGCAAAAGAACATAATGTGGACTTTTCTCACATAAATGATACAAATATGAAGTGCGGAAAATTATATTACGTCTTCGACTTCAAGTGTAGTTGCACAAAATTAATTCAAAGCCAAGACAGATTAAAAAAAAATATTTGTCAAACTAAAAAAAAAAATTTCTTTTTTTTAAATGAGAAAATATAGAATTTATTCCGCATAAAAGTAAATTTGAAATTACCATGCAGTTAAATGTGAAACTTAAAAAAACACACACACAAAGACCCCCTCCCCTCCCCAACTTCCCCCTGTCCTTTTTGATAGTTTGTTTTGGTACCTGGTTCAATGCGGCGGGCGCTGTTTTAAGCTTACTTTCTATGCTATGAATAGTTTTTTTAATTATAACAAACAATAGATTTAAAGTTAAAATAGCTGCATGTACATATTTAACATCACACTTATTGCGTAGATCGTTATACTAATGTTACATCACGGCTTTAAATGTAACTAAAGCCGTAGTTACATGTGCAAATTTAGAACTTGTCTTAATGTGGAATTGCGCGAAATACAGTTTTAAAAAAAGCAGATGTCAATGTTGCAAATACTTTTTGAATAACTACACAATGAACTAAACGGAACCAAATAACTCTATAACTTAAAAAAGTATTATAACACATTATGGATTGTTTCAACTTTCAAACCGGAGTTTCGTATTTGATGGCGCTTTAAATACCTATTTTTTTTTAAAAAAATGTTTTTAAAAAAGTCGCATAACTGGTCTACCAGATCACAATTAACGCACATTTATTTGTTATACAGCAAGTAAACAGAATTTGATTATGTAGTTTCAAGAAACGCTGTAAAAAAGGATATTACTGGAACGATTAAAGGGAGGCTATCGATTACTATTCACTGTCTTTTGACACAAAAGTAACTTCCCTTCTATGTATTCTGATATTACAAAAGTATCAGCTGGTTACTCATTGAAAATGATTCAGTAAAACATAGACTATGGTCTTCAGCGTACCCGTTTATACACTATGACATGACGTGAACAAGAATGCCGCATCAGATGAAAAACAAAGCGGCTTATAAAGTTTTGGAAGCCAGAACTAAGTATAACATTTATTAAAGTGAATACGAATCCCGCTAGGGTCTTTGGATTCTTTCACGTAAGAAAGCTTTCATGCTACCATGCTTACAAACAAAATGGTTCTACTCACCTGAGGTCTTCCTCCGCAAGTCAGGGTACTATATTAAAACACCAATACACAGCATGACTTTTGACACTTTAATCTTCTGTAACTGTTTTCTGCTCATGTGTGATATTTTATTTTTTAAAAAAACAGATCTGCATT